ATCCCCTCCCATCCCTGTCCATCCCCGTCCACCCCCGTCTGAGGCTGTGCTCTTGGGCCCCAGCTCACACTCTCTTGGCCTCACCTGGTTCCGGGCTGCAGCCCCTCGTTCCTGGAGGCCCCGGGGGTCACCCCTCCTTATCACAGTCTCGCCTCCCGGGGCCACGTCAGCCCTGGAGTGACGGACCCAGCGGGCACCCAAGCAGCTCCGCACTCAGAGGCCCTGCCTGGGCCTGGGCTCGGGGTTCTGGCCTCTGGGGCGAACACCTGCATCCTCGGAGGCGGTTGTGCTGGGGACACGGAGCCTGCGTGCGAGTGGTTCCCACAGGCCGGCACGTAGTAGATGCCCAATAAATCCAAGCCTCCCCAGCTGCAGGGGCTGGTGTGCGGGGAGGAGGCAGCTGCTGCCTGGGAGACTTCCTGGAAGCTGGGGCCTGGGGGACGGTCCCCCACCTCCACCTCCCTCAGTGCTCTTCCCTCGCGGGCCAGGGGCAGGTGGACTGGCTTGTCTCACATGCTGAATGCGACACCCAGCGAGGGGAGGCCCAGCCGAGGGATCCCCAAGGAGCTGAGACAGACCGGGTGACCGTGACCTGAGAGGGGACAGGTGGGGTGACCTTGACCTCAGAGGGGACAGGCATATGGTGGGAGAGTGGGTTCCTCCCTCGCCCCCTATGGCCCCGCCCTGCTGTGCGGGATGCAACACCACATCCAGGGCACAGGCCACCAGGAGCGCCCCGGGGCCTCCCCCTCAGAATGGGGGTGAGCACGGGTGCCCCTCCCCCATCTCCGAGGGGCTGTCCAGGGCACAGGGACCTGCTGGCCTCGGGGACACCAGTTTGAGCAAAGCAGCGTCCGCAGCTCCCGGCCTGCGGGTGGCCCTCTCCTTCCTGCGGCCTTTTTTGGTGGCTGAAACCCTAGCCTGAGCCCAGAGCCAGACAGGCCGGCAGACAAGCACATTCTTCTCAGGGGAACCCCCCCTCCTCTCCTCCCGCCTCCTCCTCTTCTTCCTCCTCCAGGGCCTGCCCAGGCCTGACCCTGGGCTGGGTTGCAGGCTGTGTGGCCTGCACGGGGCTGCTCCCCGGGGACTTGGGGTGGGAAGGACCCCCGAGGCCCTGGGCTGGGCTGGGAGTCCTGCGGGGGGAGCTGACTCCAGGGCCCCTGGGCGTCCGGATCCAGCACTGGCTGTGGGCCCTTCTGCCCCATTTCTGGGCAAACCCCAGCTTGTCCTGACTCAGTTTCCCCAGTGACTGCCCCAGATCCTGGAGGTCAGAGGATTGAAACTTGAGCCCCCAGGGTCAGGCTCAGGCTCAGGCTCAGGGCGGGGAGCGCCCAGGTGAAGGGAAGCCTGGTTTGAGGCTGTGGGGCTCTGACGCTGTGTGACGGGGTGGGGAGTAGGGGGGGTGTCTGCACTGCCCTCAGGGTCTTTCCGACAGGAGGTGCCCCCCCATTTCTCCTGCTCGGGCAGGACAGTGGTGCAGAGTGGACCCCACTCCTGACTGAGGAAGGTGGAGGGCAGGGAACTTAGAATCCTGGGGCGCCTGCCCTGGCTGGTGTGCTCAGTGGGTAGAGCATCAGCCTGTGAACTGAACGGTCCCGGGTTCGATTCCGGTCAGGGCACAGGCCTGGGTTGCAGGCTCGATCCCAGTGGGGGGCGGGCAGGAGGCAGCCGATCCGTGATTCTCTCTCCTCATGGATGTTTCTCTCTCTCCCTCTCCCTGCCTCTCTGACATCAATAAAAACACATTAAACAATAAAAAAAGAAGCCTGGGGCCTGGCCTCAGTGGAGCAGACGTTTATTGGGCACCTAAGTGCAAGGCACTGGGCCAGGTGCCGGGATACAGAGCGACACAGACGTCCCTGCCCCGCGAGGAGCTCACAGTCTAGAGGGAGCGAGACGCGTACAGTCGGCGGCAGTGACATCAGCTGGCGCTGCAGGTGCGGAGGCGGGCGGGGCGGCGGGTCCCGGGACGCGGCTGCTTCGGGGCAGCGCTGGGCGGGGTACAGCATGGGCTCCGGCCCGAGGGGGGCCATCGGGAGGGGAGGTGCCCACCGAGGCGGGGCCCACGGAGGCCGAGGAAGGCGCGGCTGCAGCGGGCATGGGCGGGGCTGTACCAAGTGGGCGAACACGGGGGCCGGGGGACACCAGGCACGCGGGGGGCTGAGCTGGGTGCTGGCCTGCGCCTCTGAGCGCCCTGGGCGGGAAGAGCTGCCTCTGGAAGCCAACCAGGACGGGGCCGCGGGGGCACGGCTGGTGGTCACATGGCAAGAAAGGGGCAGAGTGGACGGGGCCTGGGGGGCACAGAATTAGGGAGGAGCGGGGAGTCCTAAGGTAACATTGGCGAGTTTCTCAAAATGTGGTCGGAGGGCCGCCTGCCTGGGCATCGTCCGGGGAGGGGCTGAAGGGGCACGCTCCTGGGAACCCAGCCCTGGGGACAGTGCCCGGGCACCCCCACCGCCAGCGAGAGCCCCTCCCGATCGAGCCCCACCCCTGCTCCCAAGTCTGAGGGGAAAGAGGGTGGTGAGGCCGGGCCCCAGGGAAGAGAAGGGGAGCCATGAGGAGGCTCAGGAAGGGCCCTGGCTCACAGCGAGAAGGTCAGCGGGTGGACGGCCACGGTCACTGAGGCTTGAGGAAGGGCGGCCCTGCAGGGACCCCACACCAGTCTCACCTGGTGGGCGGGGCCAGAGGTGCAGCCGGGAGGTGCGGGGAGAACGAAGATGATCCTTCAAGGGAATCGGGTTGTTACTTTCATGGAAAGGAGCTGACATGTGCAGGGTCACGAGGAGGTAGATGCTGACCGGCAAGAGGAGGAGCAAGGGAGCGAGGCAGGGAGGACGGGGCGGTGCGGGGACGGGCTGCCAGAGGCAGGCCCAGCTCCGAGGTGTGTGTGTGGCGGGGAGGCTGGACCTAGGGGAGTGGCAGGGCGGGGGGTGCTCAGAGCATCCCAGAGAGCAGCGCCCTCCAGGTGCAGATCAGATCCACAGGCCACAAGCCTGAGCCAGACGGAGGCCCTCCCTCCTCCCCTCCCTCCTCCCCCGGGGCTGCACCTGCGAGTCCCCACCACACAGCAGCGGGCGCTGACCGGCCGCCACCAGCGGGATGGCTGGTGCCTTCTCCCTGCTCTTCAGCCTCAAGGGTCTCGCACACAGGCCGTGAGGTCAGACCAGCGCCCTCCCCGGGAGAGAGCCTGGGGCCTGGGGCAGAGCCCGCCCGGGAGTCAGCACCACCCACACCCTCTGAGCAGCGGACAGCCTTCTGGGGGGCGGGGGGATGGCGTCCTGCCCTCGCACCCACTCCTGGGAAGGACGGCTGTGGACAGCAGGACGCAGAGCCGCTGGGCACGAAAGCTGCCCCCAAGGCGGGCAGGCCACCGAGAAACATTCCCGTCAACCCCGGGCCGAGATCGAGGGGAAGCTCAGGACAGGTGGGGACTGTCTGTAATGGTTTGAAAACTGAGGTTTCAAATACGAAAATGAACGAAACCTGATGGGTTTCGGAAAGACAGGGAATCGTCTTTCCTGCTGTGACGTATCAAGACACCTAAGGAGTGCTTTTCTGTCCTCCACAGCCTGGCGTTTTCCCTTCCCGCCCCCGAGAAAGGGGCAGGCGGAGCCCACAGACCAAACATCACCCACAGGTCAAAGGTCAGGCTGCTGCAGGAGCGCAGCCAGCTCCACCTGGCAGCAGGGAGGCCCCGCCCCTTCCAGGTGCGCCCGGGTCCTTCTGGGAAACGGAAGAGAAATCTGGGATTGCCAAGGCCGCCGGGCCAAGCCTGGACCTCGAAGGTCAGGGTCACGGCCAGACAGTCTAGACCAGTGATGAACCTTTTGAGCTCGGCATGTCAGCATTTTGAAAAACCCTAACTTAACTCTGGGGCCGTGTCACATATAGAAATTTTTTGATATTTGCAACCATAGCAAAACAAAGACTTACATTTTTGATATTTATCTTATATATTTAAATGCCATTTAACAAAGAAAAATCCACCAAAAAAATGAGTTCGCGTGTCACCTCTGACACGCGTGTCATAGGTTCGCCATCCCTGGTCTAGACCTCACACACCTGCTGCTCGAAGTCACTGCCTGGCCCACCTCAAGGGGCTCACCCGGGCACCTGCCCCACAGCAACAGCTGACAACAGTCCCCACAGACGCCCCTCGAAGGCATCCAAGAGAAAAGGCGATGGAAGAAGCGTAGCCACCGGAGGGAGCGGGCGTCCCGGGGGCCACGCCGCCTGCCCGTGGCCGGCAGAGCCCCTCACCAGGAAGGACAAACCATCCCGGGGGGGGGGGTGGGGAGCCTCCGGGGGCGGGAGAGGGAGGTCCGCAGGGACACAGGGACCTGACCGCGGCGCCCGGGAGGACGGGTGTAGAAGACAAAGCCCTTTGAAGGTGGGTTCAGGGAACAGCAAGACTGGGAAGGAGCTGCCGGGAGAAGTCACCGACAGGAACTGGGCAGCTGACCACACGATGCGAAGCTATCGAGTCCGAGAAAGGCGCGCGGGAAGGGCCGCTGAGGACAGAGACAACAGCGAACGTGAAGGCAGGGTCGCCCCGCGGAAGCGGCTGGTGCTGACTGGCTGGGTCGCCTGGAAAGCAGACACCGGTGGGTTTTGGCAAAGCTGCACAGCGTCGCAGGGGGCGTGCCCCGTGGCTGAGGACACAAAACCTCCGCAGCGAGGGCTGTGCCAGTCCTCACGCCCGCCGTCCTCCTCGGGGGCTGGACGTGACGTGGAGTCAGGTCAGGACAGCCAGGCCTGTGCTGGCGGGAGCGGAGCCCGGGACCGGGAGGCGGCCCCACCCACCGGCCTGCACAGCGGGCGCCTGGGCGTGGCCAGGGCGGGCACAGAGCCCGGTCCCCCACCGAGGCAGGCACGAGGTGCCCTCTAGTGGCGCCCGGCCTCTCTAACCAAGGATTCCGGCGGGGAATCCCGGGAGGCAGAGGCGCGGGGAGGGCACACTCCAGGTTGGCGGGCGTGACGGTCACCTCAAGAAAATATACTTTAAGGATCTTGCTTCCCTAAGGAAGCAGCTCTTTTTTTGTTTTGTTTTGTTTTATTTAGAAAGGCTAATCATATTCATTTGTCAATATTTTCAGCTTTAAGGAAAATAGTTTAAAAAACATAAAAATGTCATTACACTCGAGTCACTGCTAGGAAACAGTCTGAGCAGGCAGAGAATGCAGACTCTCCTCCGACAGGAACCGGTCCTCTGATAGCAGCATCATTTATGTAGAAAAGAGCTGGCTTGAAAACCCAGGGCTTATGCACGAATCGGGGTCCGCTCCCCTCCTGCGCGCAGCGGCTCCCGGCCGCCTCCTCACAGTGCGCGGGCCGCGCTCAGTCCAGCACCATGGCCGACAGCGCGTTCAGGTCCTTCATGTAGGGGTGGGCCGCCAGGATCTGGTCGATCTTCAGCCGCTGCTCCGAGTCGGGGAAGATCTTCAGCAGGGCCCCCCTCAGCTCGCTGGTCTCGGCCGAGGACCGCTGGGCGGGCAGGGGCACGCTGGGCAGGCCGGGCAGGCCGGGCCCCAGCGGGAAGCGGGGCTGCTGGGGCAGCCAGTGGCCGGGCGGGGGGCCCTGGACCCGGGCGGGGGGCTGGTGGCCGGTGCCGGCGGCCGGGGTGCCGGGGCCCCGGAAGCTGGGGTCGAACATGCCCACGGCCGGCAGGGCGGGGAGCAGGGGCTGCAGGTCCCTGTGAACGAAGCGAGGCCTGGTGAGCTGGGTGAGGAGATGAACAGGAGACCCTTGGAAAGGACCTGCTGCTGCCCCCGAGCCCGGTGCTGCCCCCTGGTGCCTGACGGCGGGACTGCGGGCGGGGCGGGGATGTCCCCATGCCACCTCCAGACTTAGTGGGGACAGGATGACAGCGCTTCAGAGCCACTCCAGCCCGGACAGTGTAACTCAGTGGCTCCACCCCCAGTGTGGGGCGTGCAGGAGGCAGCCGATCCGTGCTTCTCTCTCATCACTAATGTGCCTATCTCTCTCCTTCCCTCCCTTCCTCTCTGAATTCAATAAAAAAAGTGTGTGTGTGTTTTTTTAAAAAGAGCCACTCCATCTGCAGGTCGGCTCTGGGAGGACTGACCCCGCCCCTCGGTCTGGCTTGGCACCGCCTGGGCGCGTCCAGCCGGCCTGAGGACGGAGGGTGAGACTCTGATGCTGTACGGGGGGCCCTGGCTGGCAGGCCTCAGAAAAGGGACCCCCATGAGTGGACGGGCAGCTCTCCCCGACGTCTGGGTGCGGCACTGGCACCCACAACTGTGTGCACACAGGTGAGTGTTTAACTTCCTTATCAGCCGGCCGAGCCTGCTGCGGGCGGCGCCGGCTGCGGGAGGAGCCAGAGAACATTCCTCCGGCAGCTGGGCCGCGGACCGTGAGGCCAGTGAGGCCTGCACACGGGCCTCGGGTTCAAGTTGGGACGCCGGGAAGGAAGTGAGAGGTGCGAGAGGTGTGGTGTGGAGCAGGTGGGTGCTCAGCCCGCGTTTGTGTCCTGAACACCAAGGGCTCGAAAGAGAAAGGATGCCCAAGGCCGGGAAGGGGACCACCTGGCCCTGCAGGCGACCCCGCTGTGCGAGTCACCCCCACAGCCAAGCCGGGAACCCCCAGGGTCTCCTTGCAAATGGAAGCGAACCCCTGACCGCCTTCCTGCTGGAAACACACACAAGTGCAGCCTGTTTCAGTTTTAAAGAGAAAAGGTCCGTTGCTGGGTCAGTGGTTCTCAACCTTCTGGCCCTTTAAATACAGCTCCTCATGCTGTGACCCAACCATAACATTATTTTCGTGGCTACGTCATCACTGTCATGTTGCTGCCGTGATGAATCGTCATGTAAATATCTGATCTGCAGGATGGTCTTAGGCGACCCCTGGGAAAGGGTCGTTCGACCGCCAAAGGGGTCGCGACCCACAGGTTGAGAACCGCTGGGTTAGAGGCTCTGCGTCAGGCACACAGAACACTGTGGTTAACGACGGAAACAAGAGCCAACCTGAACGGCGACTCGCTAGGATGTGGCGCCCGCAGTGCCTGCTTTGTCCTTTCAGACCCACAGGAGGCGCCTGGCTCCCCGCTCTCCACGAGGAGCTGGTGTGGCTCGGTGGGCAGAGCACCAGTCTGAGGACTGAAGGGTCCCGGGTTCAATTCTGGTCAAGGGCTTGGACCTGGGCTGCAGGCTCGATCCCCGGTCGGGGCTGGTGTAGGGGGAAACCAATCGATGTGTCTCTCTCACACGGATGTTTTTCTCTGTCTCTCCCCCTCCCTTCCACTCTCTCTAAAAATTAATGGAAAAATACCCCCAGGTGAGGACTAACCAAAAAACCCCAAAACCAAAAGGACCACAAATGAAGGTTTAGTCTTTCGGGGGCACTTGCTTGATTAGTTTCCACGTAGACAAGATCCGCACTCAATCTAAGACCATTGAAATGAAATAAGGAGCCCTGTTTAGCTTCCCGGGACACGCCTGCTCTAAACCTGCACAAAGCCCGGAAAGACACGGGTAAGCACGCGGCCATCTGGAGAGGAAATACCTAAGGAAGACTTCCTTCCGAAGAAACTCTTCTAATCGGGGTCCACTCCTTCCCAGAGGGTCGTCGGGAACCATGAATATGTCCCCCACGAAGGTGTACTGGAGCAGCCTGCAACAGAGGGCAAGGGGGGTGTGGAGGGCGTGGAGCGCGCCGGGGCCGCGGCAGACAAAGGCCCCCAAAGTCCTAGCGCCGCTCAAGGCCCGAAGGCCGAGGCGGCCCGCCCACACGTTAGCGCCTCCCCCGGACCCCAGTGGAGCCGAGCCGGCAGCTCTCAGCAGCTCCCCCTTCTTGCCGAGACCTCGGTGTCTGTCTGAGCCCGGGGGCAGCTGCACCCAGCGGGCTCACTTTCAACATCCCTCCCAAGGCCAGACGCCCAGACTCGCCTGGACACGGCGGGTGCCGACGAAGGTTTACATTCGAGTGGATGTGGGGGACCCCGAGGTCCTCAATCAAACCACAGCCCAGAGTGGAGCCAGGAGCGGCGGCGAGGGCCGCGGGGGCTAACACGTTCCTGGATGCGCTCGGGCTGCTCACCTGCGGGGCTTCCCGGGCTGCCTCCCACGGCCAGGGAGCAGGAAACAGCTCTTCCTATGGCACCTGCCCGGGGCCCCGCCCCTCCACACCACGCAGGGCTGTCTTCCCCCAGACATGACGCACAGAAGCGCCGGGGAGCCCAGGGCTGCGCGCTCTTCTCCCTCTGGCCCTGCGGCTGGCGGCTCAGACTCCTCGCCCAGGACCTGGCCCTCTCTGGGGGGCTCATGGCCTAATAAACCCTTTCTTCCCGAGATTTCAGCTGTGAAAGCTGTTGTCCACTGGCAAACCACTGAAGACACCTTTAAAAAAGGAAGCCGTGAGCCCTGGCTGGTGTGGCTCCGTGGATAGAGCACCGACCTGGGGACTGAAGGGGCCCAGGTTCGATTCTGGCCAAGGGCACAGGCCTGGGTTGCGGGCACATCCCCAGTAGGGGGCGTGCAGGAGGCGACTGATCAATGATTCTCTCTTAGTTGATGCTTGTATCTCCTTCTCCCTCTCCCTCCCTCTCTGAAAGCAATACAAAAGAAAGACATGTACTTGACGAAGTGAAAGCAGAGGTTAGCTGTGTTTAATTTATCAACTTTTGAGAAAACAAAAGTGCCAGTTGTTGGACCGGGTCCGGGCCTTGTTTTGTGTTTCTGACGTTGGGCCCGGGTGGGCTGAGAGCGATCGGCCGGCGTGCACACGTCTCAGTGCCTTCGGGCTGCGTGTGGACATGGACAGTGTCCGGGAAACGCCGATGCGGGCCCAGGGCCAGCGTCCAGCAGGGACTAGCCCCAGGAGATCCGTGGCTCGTGAACTGTGCCCAGAGGTCAAAGCCCAGTTCGGCTATCGACAGCTTTTTAACAACACACGGTCACAGGCATGGAGTCACTCGCTCTCACCTGGGCCTCGGCAGCGACAGGCCATTTTCCTGTGACCCCTAATGGCTCAGCAACGGACACACATCCGCCGTGGGAGCTGGGAGCCCACCGAGGCGCCACCTAGTGGGGCAGCGTGGGCAGCTGTGTAGGTACCAGTCCGCTCCTTTAGGTAACTGGTCAAGTAGCTGTCGGATGGCGCTCTGTCCTGGGTGTCTGTGTGTGTGTGTTTGGGGGACCCCCAATCTGGTAGGACTGAACCCTGAACCTGGGATCCGAGCCACCTCCAGGTAGACAGCATCAAAACTGAGTTGAATTCTGCCCGGCCAGCGTGGCTCAGTGGTTGGGCATCGACCTATGAACCAGGAGGTCACAATTTGATTCCCAGTCTGAGCACAGGCCCGGGTTGCGGGCTCCATCCCCAGTGTGGGGCGTGCAGGAGGCAGCCGAGCGATGATTCTCTCTCATCATTGATGTTTCTAGCTCTCGTCCTCTCCCTTCCTCTCTGAAGTCAATAAAAATCCTATATAATAAAAGGCTAATATGCAAATAGACCGAACAGCGGAACAACTGAACAACTGACGTGCGCTGACCACCAGGGGGCAAGCGCAGACCATGGTGGGCGGGCGTTGGCTGCAGGGGGATGGTGGAGCAGGTGAGCAGGGGCGCCAGACCGAGGCGGGGCGCCGGTCGCTGTCATCGGGGCGAGCCTCTGGTGGTTACTGAAAACTCTTTGCTCCCACAAGCTGCAGTCCCACCTGGTGCTCACACCTGCGGCCGGCGCCAGAGCCACCACTTGCACCCGCTGCCAGCGCCCAGCGCCGGTCCCTATCGCCGTCAGCGGGTGCACACGGAGGCTTCCGGCCCTGATTGCCCCGAGGGCTTCTCCACCTCCCCCTGCTCCTGAGGGGCGATCGGGGCAGCAGCCGCTGCACACACCCGCTGCCGGCACCGGCCCCAATCGCTCAGCGCCATCAGTGGGTGCAAGCGCGGCCGGCGCTGTCAGTGTGTGGGAGCGGCAGCGGGAGTGGGGCTGCCGTGGCGGGGGGTGGGGGGGGCCGGGCGAGGGCACAGAGGATGGGGCCGAGACCCGCCCCTGTGCCCACTGCAGCCCACAGTTCCTTTCAAGGTGCACGAATTCGTGCACTGGGCCCCTAGTATATTTGTAAAATAGAAAGAATTGAGTTGAATTCCTAGACACCATGATGGTGGCTGAGAATTGTTTGTTGACATGGGAGAACCCCACCCCTCTCCCCTGCATTGGAATTGGATTCGGGAACCCAATTTACCAGCAACGTTTATGTTTCATGGCTAACATGTGAGGCCGGTGATCTGCAGGAGCAACCTGGGCATCGGGGGGAGCCAGGAGGAGGCACTCCTGCCGCATCCCACAGCTAACAGTAGTAGCGCCCAGATGTGCCCTTGCCCGCAGGGAGCTCCGGGCTGAGCGGTGCCTGTGGGCACCCAGCCCCCCTTCACCGTCTGGGCGCACAGTCCTAGGACCTGGCTCCCTGTCTTGCTCTCTGCAGGGCAAGGTGAGCACAAACAAACAGCAAACAGAACCGAAGGATGAACCACAGCACGTGTGGCCAAGGAAGGACAGGGAGGGACGTTACCTCTTTGTAATAATTTCTCTCCAGGACACCGACTCGGTCACAAATTCTCTGAAGTTGTCATTCGTTACGATGATGCCACCAGTTTTGTCCGCTAAGTGTAGCAGGAACCTGTGGTAACAGGACAGAGATTAAGAGGGCAGGCGGCCCCCGGCCCCCCGGGCTGTGCAGTCAGATGCAGGGCTTCCTCCCTCTTCACAGGAAACCCCAGGACGCAGCTGAGGCCGGGGACAGAGAGGCCTCGCCCGGCCAGCTGAGGGCCCAGGAGACGCTGAGTACCTCTGAGGAGCCTAGTAGATTGGAAAGGGGCCTGGTTCTCACACAACCTGACTCTCTTTTTGAAAATGGTCTCAGCCACATTCACACCCACAGTCACACGTGCTGCAGAGAACCGCCCGGTCAGGAGGGGCGTTAGGGGTCCGAGTGGGGTGAGTGGGGGCGGCAGGGAGCCGAGGGGGGTGAGTGGGGGCGGCAGGGAGTAGAGGGGGTGAGTGGGGGCGGCAGGGAGCCGAGGCGGGGCACCCAGGCCGGGCTGAGCCACCTGCGGATCCCTGTGGTTCTCGGCTGTGCACCGGGAGCTCTGGTGCCAAGACCAGCCGGTTGGCACAGGCAGCCTTGCCATCGTTGTCCCCACAGGGTCACGTTCTGCTCTGACTTAAGGAGCGATGCTCAGCTCTGGCCTGTGGCCAGTTGGCTGGGCACCGTCCTGGGCACCAAAAGGGTTGCTAGTTCGATTCCCAGTCGGGGCACAGGCCGTGGTTGCGGGCTGGATCCCCAGTGGGGGGCGTGCAGGAGGCAGCCAGTCCATGACTCTCTCATCATTGATGTTTCCCTCTCTCTCTCCCTCTCCCTTCCTCTCTCTGTACAAAGTCAATTTTAACCAGTTAACTGCCACGATATTTTGAATTTAATTTAAAAAGGTCCGCCGCTTGCATCTATAGACGCTTAGGACATACAAATGGTTAAAAAAAAAAAAAGCAGCGATGTTCAGAACTGCCGTGCCGCCTCGTCCAAGTAGAGACTCACTCAACCCCCAGCTGTGGAGAGACAGGCGACGGGGAGGTGGGGGCGCCGGGCGCTGGGCAGGCTGTTCCGTTGCTGGAGATGCTCAGGTCGCGCTCTTACGGGAGGTGGGGACGATGGTGGGCTACCCCCCAGGCAGGTCACCACACAGACACGGGCTCGGGCATCACGGTGCAGGTCACGGCCCAACAGCCAGGAGACAGCGCGAGACAAGAACACGCACTTTCAACAGCACCAGCACCAGCACCAGCACCCCATCCAACGCGGCTTTCCTGCCGGATCCGCCGGCTTTTGTTTAAAAAGACCTGGGTGCCACGCTGCTTCCCCGCGGGCACGCTTGGGAGGCAGCCAACCGGGAGGCAGCCAATGGATGCGTCTCTCTCGCATCCATATTTCCCCCTCTCCCCTCCTCCCTCTCCAAATCAATGGAAAAACTATAACAACAACAAAGAATGAGGGCCCAGGGCGGAGAAGTGTCCCTCGGAGCAGGCCCGCCCGCCCCGGGCGCACCCAGCCAGCAGGGCACCTCCTACCTGTCGTCGTGGGAAGCGATCCGCTCCCCGAAGACCATGCGGGCGGGGGTCAGGGACAGGATGCCCAGCTCCTGCAGCTGCGTCAGGAAGTGCTGCTCTGTTCGGAGGGAGTGGGGCACAGTCAGCAGGGCCGCCCCCCACGGTTCCACAGTGACCGTACCCCAAAGCCGCGCTGGCGGAGCCTCGGGAAACCTTGTTCTCTGCCGACTCAGGGACACTCGGTTGTGCTGACTCACGGGAAGAAAACAAACAGCCAGCGAGGCACAGACGAAGGCAAATGCAACGTGGAGCCTGACTTTAGCAATTTTTGAGCATAAAGAAGTTCAGCTCGTTTGCTGCTTAAACGCACAGGAGTGAACCACAAACCTGTGTGCGAGGAGCCCTACCACCCAGGACTTCGCGGCCGCGTTACCCGCAGCAGAGCACAGAGCGCGAGGGCCACAGTCCCCGGGGAGCGGGGAGGGGACCCCAGGAGCGCTGCTCCCCGTCTCCCTCTGGGGCACCCGACTCAGCCTCTGGCCGTCGGTGCGAATGCGCACTGACTGTCAGGGGTGCGGGGACTCCGGAGGACGGAGGGCCGAGCCACATTGCAGAAAACCAGTGACGGGGAAGAAGAGGCCAGAGCTCCGGCCTGGGGTGCCCACACCTGCTGGAACGCCGTCACCGCGCTGCTGTCCCGGAACGCACCGTGCACAGCCTTCCAGACTCCTCCAGGGCCCGCGGCCATGCACCAGGAGGTCACGGTCCATTCCCGGTCAGGGCACAGGCTCAGGGTGCGGACCGATCCCCAGAGCGGGGCGTGCGGGAGGCAGCCGACCAATGATTCTCTCTCATCATTGATGTTCCTATCTCTCTCCTTCTCTCTGAAATCAATAAAAATAGATTTTTAATAAAGAGAGGCTGGAAATTAGAAGAAAAGAAGACCCTCCAGGGAACCAGCGCAAAAACAGCTGTAAAACGAGCAGCTTCGCTGTTCCCCAGACCCTTCTCTCAGGACAAACGCGCCCCAAGTGAGGGAGCTGGGACTTACCGCCCACCTGACAGTGGCTAAGCCTGACTTCCTGTGTGATGCTGGGCACCTCAGGCCCCCCACCCCCACCCCCGCCCCGTCTGTTTCTAGGTGCTCAGGGGTCCGCGGGAAGCTGCCCGAGTCAGCCCTTCCCGGCTCCTCCCACGACGGCCCTCAGTTTCTCTGGGATATTTCAGGATTATAAGTTCAAGCCTGGGTGCGGGGCCTGCAGGGCGTGTGATCACAGAAATGATGTGATTCGCTCCAGGCAGACCATTAAAAGGCCACTCGGCCCCGGCCCCTGTGGCTGCTGGCTGGGCGGCGTCCCGTCCCACGCACCCGTCCCTCCCCGGTCAGGGCCGCGCCCAGGCTGCGGGCTCCCTGGTCCGGGCGCGTGCAGGAGGCTCACATCCATGTCTCATTCTCTCTTCCTCTCTCTAAAAACCAATTTAAAAATCTTAAAAAATATATACATGCTATTTGAGGGCTCTAAATTTATCAAGTGACCACTTTCAAAAATAATATGTAAAGAGGCAGAAACCCAGCCTGACGAAAGAGAAACGGTCAAGTTTTTTTTTTAAAAAAAGACATCTAACCTCCGTCTACATAATGAACTCCAATGTGACTTCCCGAGAACGGGCGCCAGGCCCCGCCCGCGCCTGCAGCCCTCTCTCCGGGCTTCTGTGCCCCCTCCCCCAGAGCTGCGCCTGCCCACGGGGGCGCGAGCGGCCATGACTCGGACCCGGGCCGGCTCACCCGTGACGTTGGGGTCGCGCCGGGTCCTCCACTGCGGCACAAACACGGTGATGTTGCGGTTGCCCAGCTTCCAGAAGTACTCGACCGCGATGGCGATGCCGCGACAGGAGAAGAACTTCTTCAGCCCGTGGCTGTGGGGACACAAGCGCGACTGTGGGCAGCGGCTGGGGGAGTGACAGGCGGTCACCCCAAGGCTCCCAGAGGCGGGGCTTCCTGCTGCGGGGGGTCCGTGCCGTGGGGGGCTGCAGAGCACACCCCCTGCAGCTGGAGGACAGACTCCACGGACACTTGCGGGAGCGACTCAGAAACGCCCGAGGCCCAGGCACCGCAGCCACAGCGCGCAGCCGGGCTGGTGACGGCCAGAGCGATGGCCGGACAGGGCGGCAGCGGCCTGTCCAGAAGCACACAGGCGGCGAGGAGGCAGCCACAAGCCATTCGCTCCAGGAAACAGGCTGCGGGTAGTTCTCATAGAAGCGGGACAGGTGTGTGTGTGTGTGTGTGTGTCTGCGTGTGTGTCTCTGTGTGTGTGTGTGTCTGCGTGTGTGTCTGCATGTGTGTCTCTGCGTGTGTGTCTGTGTCTGTCTGTGTCTGTGTGTGTGTCTGTCTGTGTGTATCTGTCTGTGTGTGTGTCTGTCTGTGTCTGTGTGTGTGTCTGTCTGTCTGTGTCTGTGTGTGTCTGTCTGTGTGTGTGTGTGTGTGTCTGTCTCTGTGTGTGTCTGTCTGTGTGTATCTGTCTGTCTGTGTGTGTCTGTCTGTGTGTGTGTGTCTGTCTGTCTGTGTCTGTGTGTGTCTGTCTGTGTGTGTGTGTGTGTGTGTGTGTCTGTCTCTGTGTGTGTCTGTCTGTGTGTATCTGTCTGTCTGTGTGTGTCTGTCTGTGTGTGTGTGTCTGTCTGTGTCTGTGTGTGTGTCTGTCTGTCTGTGTCTGTCTGTGTGTGTGTGTCTGTGTGTGTGTGTCTGTCTGTGTCTGTCTGTGTGTGTCTCTGTGTGTGTCTGTCTGTCTGTGTCTGTCTGTGTGGGTGTGTGTCTGTCTGTCTGTGTCTGTCTGTGTGTGTGTCTGTGTGTGTCTTTTTTTTTAATCTTTAAAAAGAAAAAATGACTTGGCAGGCGGGGCTCAGTGGTTGAGCGTTGACCTAGGAACCAGGAGGTCACGGTTCGATTCCCGGTCAGGGCACAGGCCCAGGTTGTGGGCTTGATCCCCAGGTGGGGGCGTGCAGGAGGCAGCCGGTCCATGATTCTCTCATCGTTGATGTTTCTATCTCTCTCTCCCTCTCCCTTCCTCTCTGAAAAAAAAAAAGAAGAAGAAGAAGAAGAAATCACCCCAGTCACTTCAGCCAGGAAGGCCAGAGCTGATGGCAACCGCAGCCAGAACAAAACACAGCTACGTGGACCCCTTGGTTCTCCTCAGAACCAGGTACAGGTGGGCCCCGGGGAAGGACAGCACCTTAGGGAAAGGCACTGACAAAGGCTGCAAAGTGCCTCCCTCCCTCGCTCACTGCTCGGGCACAGGCGTGTGGAGCCCTTCCCCTCCTCGCCTCTAAGGCTCCTGACGCAAAGCGGGGACCCCGAAGGGAGGGGACCCAGCCCACCCCACGGGGCACCGAGGAAATGGCCGGAAACACAATCAGATGGCATTCTGCCGCCCCGGGCCCCTCACGGCTCAGAGGGGAAGCTTGGAGGCAGTTCTAGAAACATTAGCTCTAAACTAATTTCCAAAATGTCACCCTCAGTAACGAGATCACACCACCTGTGGGCACCTGAAACATTTGGTGGAGAACACACAGACTTACCCGAAAACAAAACTACCGTCCTGCAAGCAATACAGCAGGTCCTCCCCCGCCCCCACCCCCCACCCCGAGCCCCGACCAGGCAGCTCTGTGCGGCCCTCGCTGCCCCCGGGCCCGCCTGCCAGCCACCCGGAGCCTGGGGACAGGCGCACCCAGACCAGCTGGCCACGCCGACCCAGACAAGGCGCCGGGCACAGCGACCCTCTCTGACCGCAGAGAAGGCGACGCTCAGGGCTCACAGTGCCAAACGCAAAAGGAGTGGGCACTGGCCCGGGGCAGGTGTGCGGGCTCGCAGGGGAGGCCCAGGCCCGGCAGCCACCTCCCTGGAAACGAGCTACGTATCACCTGGTGGTCCCCACACTGTCGCAGGCAGCCAGCCAGCAGGACGCGTCCAACGCAGGAAGGAGGTGGGTGACGGGGGATGAAAACGAATGACAAGGGCCCTGGCCAGTGTGCTCAGTGGTTAGAGCGTCGGCCTGCAGACGGAAGGGTCTCGGGCTCGATTCGGTTCAAGGGCGTGCCCCTCGGCTTCAGGCACCGTCCCCAGCCCCCTAGTCAGCGTGTGTGGGAGGCAACCAATGATGTGTCTCTCTCACATCGATGTTTCTCGCTGTCCCTCCCCCTCCCTCTCCCTCTAAAAAAAAAAAAAAAAAAAAAAAATCAAAGGGAAAAATATCCTGGGGTCAGGATTATCAAACACAACAACAAGGAACCCGATGGCACCAGCGGGGAAAGTGAAACCTCTCCCAGTGGCCCGGAGAGAGCCGCTTCCGTCTGTGGCTCCGCTTAGCAAAGAGCCGGAACCCGCCGCGGGGCGACCGGCACGGACAGGGTCACACACAGCCGGCCGGCCAGCGGGGGCGGCCGCAGCCCCGAGGAAAACCCGCCCAGCAGTCAGGTGCTCTCACGCGGGCCGCCCCGCAGAGCAGCGCCGGCCCCACTCGATGCTGGGGACTCACCGCAGCGATTTCCATTGACTCATCCTTTGAGTCACTCACGGCGACCAAGGGGAAAAACCAGGTACAGATCTGTGTCACCCGCAGCCCGGGAGGGTGCTGGGAATTTCTCACGGGGTCTGACCTGCGGGCAGAAGCTTGGCGACGGGTGGGGTCCCAAGACCCTGTTGCTAAGGACCCAGATTTCCTGGTGAACGAGGCCCCCAGCGGGCGGGGTGAAAGGAGGTGCGCTCGGCAGGGCGTCAGCATGAGCATCAGCATCGCCGTGAGCATCCAATGCTGCCCAGGCCCCAGCCCCGCCTCCATTTCCACGGGCAGAGGCAGGGCGCCCGGAGGGCAGGGACCGTCGGGGCCGCATCTCATGCCTGTGTCATCTTGGACAAGATTTCCAGGCCACTTTATGTTGTGCAAATTCCGGGTAATCTTCACCTCACAGAGCGGGTGTGAAGTTTGTTTTGAAAGATGAAGTACAGCCCTAACCGGTGTGGCTCAGTGGATAGAGCATCGGCCTGCGGACTGAAGGGTCCCAGGTTCGATTCCGGTCAAGGGCATGTGCCTTGGTTGCGGGCACATCCCCAGTGGGGAGTGTGCAGGAGGCAGCTGATCGATGTGTCTCTCTCATTGATGTTTCTTTTTTTTTTTTTTTAAATATATTTTTATTGATTTTTTTTTTTACAGAGAGGAAGGGAGAGGGATAGAGAGTTAGAAACATCAATGAGAGAGAAACATCAACCAGCTGCCTCCTGCACACCCCCCACTGGAGATGTGCCCGCAAACCAAGGTACATGCCCTTGACCGGAATCGAACCTGGGACCCTTCAGTCCGCAGGCCAACGCTCTGTCCACTGAGCCAAACCGGTTTTGGCCATTGATGTTTCTAACTCTCTATCCCTCTCCCTTCCTCTCTGTAAAAAATCAATAAATTAAAAAAGAAAGAAAGAAAGAAAGAAAGAAAGGAAGAAAGAAAGAAAGAAAGAAAGAAAGAAAGAAGTGCATGCCCTGGTCGGCGGGGCTTAGCCGGCTGAGCGTCATCCCCGGGCACCCAGGGGTCGCCGGCTGGATTCCCGCCAGGGCCTATGCCCAGGTCGCAGGTTCTACCGATGTCTCCCTCTCTCCCTCCCCCTTCCTCTCTCTCGACAACTACAACCCATAAAAACTTTAAAAAAAAAAAGATAAATGATAGTACCTAACACATATCAGTTTCAGCTTTAAGATTCCAAATACTTGTTAAATTAAATATATGGCCTCAAAGTTTAACCTGAATTGATTATTGAAATAGCAACTGGAATTGCAAGTTATAAATGGGTGGTGAAAAGTCACTTAAAAAGTCCTAATCTTTTCTTTTTTTTAAAAAAACAAACAAACCAATTTTAAAGAGAGAGGAAAGGAAAGAGAGAGAGAGGAAGAGAGGGAAATTGTTGTTTCACTTAGCTATGCATTCCTGGTGGATTCTTGTATGTGGCCTGACCGGGGATCAAACCCACAGCCTTGGCATATCAGGATGATGCTCTAACCGACTGAGCCACACCCGCCAGGGCCAAGAAGCCTCATCGTTAACAACCTCCTCTCTCATTCATTCTTCCTGTGACAGCGTCAGGTGCCAGGCACCATGACCTTGGGAGGCGTTCGGAGAACAGACCAGACACGGTCACTTTCTTCATGGAACTCGGAGTCTATAGTTCACATTTCATGTGAAGCAGTTAATTTAGAATAAGGGTGAATGTTTTCCCAACGCCTAAAAAATGTAGGTGAGATAAACAACAAAAAACCATCATTTTAAAGTGAACAATTCTGTGGTGTTTAGGACACAACCACCGCTTATATCTTGTTCCAGAACATTTCCACCCGTTAAGCCGTTTCTCTCCAGAATAAGTTAATTTTAATTACTGACAGTTTCAAATCCACCTACATCAAGCTGTAAGTCTGTCTTCTTTGTGAAAATGGTGCTTTAAAAACTGAGACATCTTGTGAATTCAGAGAAAATGGAAACCCTCCCAAAACTATCAGTTTTTTAAAAATTCGCAGAAGTCAGCTTGTGGTTTCCCTGAGAGCACTGATTCAGAGGTTTTCAAGGGCAGGAGGGTACACTAGGGCGTTAGGGAAACCCTGGGAGTGTGTTGGGCTGTCACATGACGGGGGCAGAGGGGAGGCATTCTGGCCACAGTGGGAGGGGCCAGATATGCCAACGTCCTGTCTTGGATACACACACAGCTCCAAGCCCCAACAGCCCCTCTGAGAGATGCACTACTACTCCAAATAGGTTTTAAGGGACGTGTCATTGCGCTGGCTGGTGTGGCTCAATGGATAGAGCACCGGCCTGTGGACTGAAGGGTCCCAGGTTCGATTCTGGTAAACAGCACATGTCCAGGTTGCGGGCTCGATCCCCAGTAAGGGGGTGTGCAGGAGACAGCCGATCAATCATGCTCTCTCATCACTGATGTTTCTATCTCTCTCCCCATCTCCCTTCCTCTCGGAAATCAACAAAACACACACACACAAAGTGTTGTTATCAACACTTATCCTGGGTTCATTTGCATTTCTTATTCTTTGAACAGCAATCTGGGAGATCTTTCCACATACAGAAAAATGACGAAGGATTAATGTTACGATCGTGACCTGCATTTTATGTCATCATTTGGCTCCAAACGTTGAGACAATGAGGAACTGGTGCTGGCGGCTGTGGCTGCAGCCGCACTTACGCTTTCCTTAGATAACGCGGCAGCTGTGGCCATTCGCTGGGCTTCCCCGGAGGAAGTGCCGACAGCACAGCGAAGGACAGCAAACACACTGTTTGGAATCAGACACGTTCACGCATCTTTTTACTGCCTCGCCTCAAGCTGTGAGTGCAAGGCTGGCTCTTTCCTCTTTCCTTTTTTATTTTTTTGACAGCAAAGGACAAATCAATAATTCATTCAAAAAAAATAAAAAGAATCCTCTTTAAAAAAAAAAATAGATATTAAAATAATTGTGGATGAAATGACATATTTGAGCCTGGCAGGGGTGCTCAGTGGTTGAGCGTCGACCTATGAACTAGGAGGTCACGGTTCCATTCTCAGTCAGGGCACAGCCCCGGGTTGCAGGCTCGATCCCCAGGTGGGGGTGTGCAGGAGGAAGCCGATCCATGATTCTCTCTCATTATTGATGTTTCTTTTTTTTTTTAATATATTTTATTGATTTTTTACAGAGAGGAAGGGAGAGAGATAGAGAGTCAGAAACATCGATGAGAGAGAAACATCGATCAGCTGCCTCCTGTACATCTCCTACTGGGCACATGCCCTTGACCGGAATCGAACCTGGGACCTTTCAGTCCACAGGCTGACGCACTATCCACTGAGCCAAACCGGTTTCGGCTCATTATTGATGTTTCTATCTCTCTCTTCCTCTTCCTTCCTCTCTGTAATCAATAAAAATACATTCTTTAAAAAACTACTCATTAAAAGTCTCTGCACTGCTTATCACGTGGCAAAGCGATGTGAAAAGACACCCTTTCCATCATTTCCTGCCCCCGAAATGCAAGGCCCTCAGGTGGACCAAGCGATGACTCTAGAAGGTGGAACAGCAAGGCTTCCCACCCAGCTGCTCCCTGCAGGGAAGCTCAGACCGACTAGACACACACAGGACCGTCCCCCCAACGCACGCAATCCTGGGGTGCTGCTGGGAACCAGTGTGGGCGGCCGCGTGGACTTACGTGATGGCGACGTTGCTCCCGTCGATGACGATGTGCTTCAGATCCGTCCTCCCCGGCTCGTTCTTCAGCTCCAGCTTGTAGGGCACCTTCAGGGTGTCTCGGAACCTCTGCACCCCCGTCACCGAGGAGTCGATGTGATCGGAGAACCCGGCCGAGAGCCCCAGCGGGGGCAGCGGCGTGGCCGGGAGGGGCTGGCAGTTCGGCCTGGACTGTGGGGAGCCGAGGCAGCCGGCCCGGCTCTCACAGGCCGACTTGAGGTGGTTGGGGAGCAGGGCCTCTCCGTGCGGCTGCACCCCATTCTCGGGGAAAACCGGAATCCTGGGCTGGTGACCTGACACTCCCCTCGAAACAAAACTGGGGCTCGAGGGGGCGACGGAGGGGGCAAAGCCATCGATTTCCAGGTCCATGTTCCCGCCGTAGTTGGGGTGCGGCCCCCAGGGCTCCGGCCTCTGCTCCATCGGCCCCGTTTTGTAAGCGTTCATTCTGCAGTTTGAGGTACACGGTTTTGATTCCGCTTTGAACGGCAGCGGAGAAAATTTCTTCACCGTATTTTGCTGTGCGTGAGCTTGCATTTTCTTTGGGGTGGCATCCACGGTGAACTCGTTGGTGCTGCTACAAACTCCCTTGTGTTTGGCTTTGCTGGTCTCGGGGTGCCCGGTGGCAGGCGCCGACTCCCGCTCCTCCTGGCTCCGCCGGTTCTCCTTCTCGATTTCCTCCAGCAGCAGCAGGGGCTCGGCGGACGGCCCGTACTCCCGGATGACCCTCTCCACGATGTCCTGCGAGTAGCCCATGGTCTTGAAGAAGTTCACCAGGATGTTGTGCTCCATCTCCTCGGTGGTGTCTTTCACGTCGGGGCTTAGCCCGTCTGGCTCGCCGGGCGCCTCGGACAGGTCGGCGAGGACAGCGGCGGCGGCCGGCTTCGCGTCCGGCGCCGGCTCGGCCCCCTCCACGCTTTCCAGAGAGAACTGCTTCTTGGTGTGCCGCTCCTCGGAGTCGGAGGACCGCCGCTTGTGGCAAGCCCGGCCCCGGCCCGGCTCGTCCTCGGGGGCCAGGCCGTTGACGGGAGGGAAGAGCGCGTCTTGGGCGCTAGAGAACACGGTGTCCATTTGTTTCGTGAGCTCGGAAACGGGGGTCCCGGCCCCGCTTCTCGCCTCCTCCCGCAGAGCCGCCCCGTCCACGCTCAGCCCCGCGGCCGCGCTCGGTGCGCCCGCCGTCGCCGTCGGTTCAGGCCCTCTGATCTCAACGACGTCATCGTCTCCCGCCTCAAACAGGGTGTCCTCCCCGAGCGTGAGCGCCAACAGCTCCTTCTTCAGGGACGTGGGCAGGATCAGCAAGTCCATGGTGTAGTTGTCGGCGCGTGCCTCCACGACCTGCCTGAACTCCCTCTTCACCTCCGACTCCTTCTGGCAGCTGGGCAGGCTCTCGCGGCTCTCGAAGAGCTTCACGAACTGCTGGACGTGGCTGCGGGCCATGACCACGGCCTCGGCGCTGCCGCGGATGCCCAGCAGCCCCACGTCCAGCACGCAGAGGTCGGCGCAGGTGTCCTGGATCAGGCTCTTGAGGAACAGGCCCTGCGCGCCCACGAAGATGCAGTGCATGGCCTTGGGGTAGTGCTCGCGCTCCTCCAGCTCGGGCTCGCAGACGCCCTTGATGTACTCCTGCAAGAGAGGAGAGGGTCAGCTCACAGCGGCTCCTCCGCGCACGGGGCCAGAGGCCGGCCGTGCACAGGGGAAAGCAGGCATACCTGGGGACAGGGCGTGATTCAAACAAAGGGTGTAAAGCAGGGGTCCTCAAACTATGGCCCGCGGGCCACATGCAAATACAAACAGTGTATTTGTCCCCGTTTTGTTTTTTTTTACTTCAAAATAAGATATGTGCAGTGTGCATAGGGATTTGTTCATAGTTTTTTTTTTTAAACTATAGTCCGGCCCTCCAACGGTCTGAGGGACAGTGAACTGGCCCCCTGTTTAAAAAGTTTGAGGACCCCTGGTTTAAAGTAACCATCGTGAGCCCAGCCGCGTGGCTCAGTGGTTGAGTGTTGACCTATGAACCAGGAGGTCAGGGTTCGATTCCTGGTCAGGGCACAGGCCCGGCTTGCGGGCTCCATCCCCAGGTGGGGGCGTGCAGGAGGCAGCCGATCCAGGATTCTCTCTCATCACTGATGTTTCTCTCTTACTCCCTCTCCCTTCCTCTCTGACATCAATAAATAAATATATATATTTTATAAGAAATAGCAGTAGATTGTTTAATATTTAGGTAACCATCTGAACAAGAAGCTAGAACCAGTAAAGTGTAGTTGCCCCTAGAGGTTGGGGGGCAGCAGTGAAACTGCAGCTCCGACTACAGAAACCTGGGAGCCACCTGACGCTTGTTTGCACCCGGGGCACACCTTCTAATTTTAACAAGCAGTGAGCGAGGAGACCACGGCATTCCCGACGCTGCCGTGGCGACAGCTGGGCCCCGACCTCAAGTTCTGCCCATTCCTGTTGGAGGTGAGGAGCCCCAGCAGCTATGAAATACCGGGTGATGCATCTTTGAGACAATTATTTTCTACTATTTCTGTTGCTTTTCTGGATTAGTGTAATTGAAGAGTATTCTGCAAGAAGATCTGTCCAAAGACTAGCACATCTGTAGCTAATTAGCCATACAGTTTAGGACGCCCTCGATCCTACACAACCACAGAAAACGTAACATTAAACTGGATGCCGAGGCAGACAGGTAACTGCACAGATGAGTGGAAAACCCCGACTTTGAGTTGAAAAAAAAAAAAGACTTTATTTTTTAAAGCAGCTTTAGGTTCAGGGCAGAATTGAGCAGGTACAGAGATTTCCCACATGATCATCACAGAAGTCCCCGTTTCTATCACCTTAAGTCAATGTTCTCCCTTGGAACCCACAGAAAATACCCTGAAACTGCCGATCGGATCTGTTATTTACAAAGACTTTACGTAGCTTCTACAATCCTTTCCAGCAAGTGATGCTCTCCGGGATGCATCCAGATACATACTATTTAGATTCTTGTCTTTCGGAGAAAAAATAATCAAGTTAATGCTGGATCCCTAAGCGCCATGACAGTGGGGGGCAGGGACGGGGGGGGGGGGGGGGGGCGGCTGGCAGAGAAACCCACGCAGCGGAGCTGTCTGGCGTCGCCCCCAACAACCAAGACCAGGGCTGCAATGCCAGCTGCAGAGTTGGGGTGTGTGTGTGTGTTTAATGTTTTTATTGACTTTGTTTTTAGAGAGAGGAGGGGAGAGAGACAGAAACATCAGTGAGAGAGGGACACCACTGATTGGCTGCCTGCTGCACGGCCCCGACTGGGGATCGAGCCTGCGAACGAGGTACGTGCCCTTGACCTGAACCGAACCTGGGGCCCTTAAGTCTGCAGGCTGGCGCTCTAACTACTGAGCCCACCGGCCAGGGCCAACGGCATAGTTTTTTTTTAAAGATACTTTTATTATTTCAGAGAGGAAGGGAGAGGGAGAGATAGAAACATCAATGATGAGAGAGAATCATTGGTTGGATGCCTCCTGCACGCCTCCTACTGGGGATCGAGCCTGAAACCTGGGCCTGTGCCCTTGACCGGAACCGAACCCGGGACCCCTCAGTCCGCAGGCCGACGCTCTATCCACCGAGCCACACCAGCCAGGGCGAACAGCATAGTTTTGAGTTGTGTGTGTGTGTGTGTGTGCGCGCGCATGCCCCAAAAGACATGAGTGATTTGTCCCTTCAGAATTACTCAATTTTTTTCATTAATAATTGACTCTTGAGAATTACTAAGTAACAACAATTGATTTTTTTACTCAAGTTCAGAGGTGAGCAATAAAATATACAGTATTATTCCATTCTAGGAGACGTCTGGCCGTCACGTGGACGGACAAGAAAGATTCTGTGGACCCAAATAGCCATCATTTGCATTTGGCTGCATTTGCTATCTGATCATTTGAATGTTAGTCAAAAACTGTCTCCCCATCCTGCAATATTCATATCGTGTTTTAAAAAATCTATTGTTGCCCTAACCGGTTTGGCTCAGTGGAGAGAGCGTCGGCCTGCGGACTAAAGGGTCCCGGGTTCGGTTCCGGTCAAAGGTATGTACCTTGATTGTGGGCACATCCCCAGTGGGAGGTGTGCAGGAGGCAGCTGATCGATGTTTCTCTCTCATCGATGTTTCTAACTCTCTATCCCTCTCCCTTCCTCTCTGTAAAAATCAATAAAATATGTTAAATAAATAAAAAATAAAAAATAAAAATCTTTATTGTTGAAAGTGTTACATATGCCCCCCTTCCCCCCACTGACCTCTTCTAGCCCTCCCACCCCCCACCCAGGCTCTCACCGCCCTACTATCTGTGTCTATGGGTTACTGTTGTTGTTTTTTAAATTGATTTTAGAAAGAGAAAGGGAGGGAGGGAGGGAGGGGAACATCAATGTGAGAGAGCAACATTGATTGGTTGCCTCCCATCAGGGACTGAACCCGAAACCTGGGCCTGTGCCCTGGCGGGAGCGGAGCCCACCACCGTTCCCTGTACGGGATGATGCTCCACCCACTGAGACACACCGGCCAGGGCTTCCTGTTGTTTACATTACTCAGGAGTTTAAGAAAAAAGGGGGGGGGGCATATAACACATATGACAGCCTCCCTTTCATGTGCAAGGTGAGTCTCTATTAGACCACCCTCTGCCGTCTCAGCTCTTCTCAACTCGCACATCATGTCACGAACCTGGAGGGCCGCAAGCTAGGACCAGGGGGACCCACGGGGCCGTTGGAGAGCCTGCAGGCTGACTCAGCACCCTCCCACCACCTCCCACCTCCTCCCCACCTCCCACCTCCTCCCGCCTCCTCCCGCCTCCTCCCACCACCTCCCACCACCTCCCATCTCTGATCACGCACAGGCAGGAGGGGCCTGCCAGCTCGTCCCCCGACCACGTGTGGTTGGCGACAGGCGCCTGGACGTGCGGCGAGAACAGCACGGGCGGGGCCCATGAAGCACCCGATGGCACAGGCACAGAACAAGCTTGACCGAGCCGGAGGTCAGAGGCCGGAGAGACCCGCTCACTGTCATGAGCGCGGATCTGGCCGACGTGGGCGGCTGCCAGGAGGGGAGCTGTGCCCGGCACCAGGCGGCGGCAGACATGTGAGCCAACCGCAGACGGTTGAGGAAGAAGCCACACAGGCCAGGAGGGTCTCGGCACATGGCAGGGGGTCCCTAACACGGCCGCTCGATGCCACACTAGGCTGATGCCACACTGGGCTGATGCCACACTGGGCTGATGCCACACTAGGCTGCGGGCTCCCGGCATTTCTGAGGCGCCTCAAACCCACAGGTCCCACTGGTCCCACAGCTTCCCGCCTGCCCCGGGGCCAGTCCCTTCAGTGCGGCCGTGGCTGTGGCCTGGAATCGGCGCTCCCCTCTCACCATGGGGCCTCGTGGACCTCGGTTCCGTGACCACAGGAACCGGCTCTGCACGTGTCTTTCTGCTGCCGGCTCGGCCCTCCGCTCCCCTCCGGCTAGTGTCTAGGCGCCGGGAGCCAGCGCACCGGTCGCACTCCCCACGCAGACACTCCCTACGCCCCCGCTGAGGCCAATGGGGGTTCGAGACCCCCAGGCCCGCACTCAAGTCCTCGTGGTTTCCATTCTCACATGCTGCTCATTTTCACAGCCCGATCTGACCTTGACCTTCCACCTCTGATCCACCGTGGTGGCATCGGAAACCAGAGCATCTACGCACCTTCACCAGACAGAGAGGGCCCTGAGCAGGGAGAACTCTGCGGGGGGCACTGGCCATGTCAGGGCACAGCGTGGGGGTGCCCCTGGCGCCTCAGGGGTAAGGCTGGGCACTCTGCCAACACCCTACAAGGCCCGGCACAGCCCCCACCACCAAGTGCCTCTGACCGAACCGTGGGCAGAGCCACGGTGGGGACACCTGGCCGTTAATGCCTGACAAATACACGTTGAGGCGGGAACCGGAAGGTGGGGACAACCGATAGGACCCTATTCACCGATGTCGCCCCAATAAATGTAACAATAAAAGCAGCAGCGTGGGGAACACCAGCTGACTCCGCTCGGTACTGACGATGCGGTGCCACTGTTTACGAAAGGGGCTAAAATGGCGAGAAGAGGCGTGCGCGCCAGTAATGAGTGCGTGCGGTTCAGGAAAACGGTCCAACTCCTAGGAGGCGGGAGGAGCCTTTCTGTCCCAGGGAGCACGCCTGGCCCGCCCCAGACGACGCGATGCTCTGGGAAACGTATTCTGACTCACCTTTCGTTGCTGTTTTGGGCCAGGACTGCGAGGCCACGTGCTAACACATGGGCGCTTGTCCAGCAGAGGTGCCCGTGGCCTCGGTCTGGGAGGAGAGAGAGCCCAAAGGTCATGGTTTCACCGTCTCCAAGGTGCTAGCCAGTTTGTATATAATCAGGCAATTGTAACCCACCTCTCTCTCTTTCTCTCTCTCTCTCTCTCTCTCTGATAAAACTCGGATTCTCTGCCCTGGCCAGTTGCTCAGTGGTTAGAACCTGCGCACCTAAGGATGCTGGTTCGATTCCCGATCCAGGGCACGTACCTGGGTTGCAGGTCCCATCCCGGGTCCCTGTCCAGACGTGTGCGAGAGGCAACCAATCGATGTCTCTCTCGCATGGATTTTTTTCTTGTCTTTCTCTCCGCGCC